CATAAGACGTATAATGAAAATGCTGTGACCACTGATGTATTTATGTGACCACGATCTGTATTGATAGTAATTATTTATTCATGCCAAAAAAAATAATAATAATCGAACATAAGATAAAATAGTGTGTGATAAAAAGTATTATCCAAAATTAAAAATTTCGTATTTCTTAACATTCACTATGGACCTAAGTCGCCAGATATCTGGAATCCGGAAAAGCTTATTATCCGGATAGTAGCCGGATATCCGATTCATCTCTTACATATTTGTTATAAGAATACTTCTGACAATGACTTAAGTCCGATCAAATCAGAAAACCTAAATTCTACTTACATATTATGGCCTTTACAGGACTTAACTAATATCTGTTCGGAAAGAGACAAGTCATAAAGAGGTTTCCCTCGATTAATTAACAACTCCGATGCGTCGTGGTTATGATATCCCTTAACTTCAATGATGTGACGACCAGATGTCTTAACAACTGCTTTGCAACACTTATAGGAGTGGGTGGAGCACGTCCACCTTATGATACCGTTCCTGATGGAGTGTTTGCAGTACGTGTACTTATTAAATATAATTAAAGGTTTGCCCCTTAACGATTGGATGAAGAATGCTTCTACGCCTGAAAATAAAACCATCAAGTTAGATATAATATATATAATAAATATATATAGATTTTTAACATTTACACTCATATAAATATATACCTACTTTATTCAGATAGCATATACTTACATTATTTTTTGTAGTTATTTAAATAAATGTGCATGTCAATTTATTTATTTATTGCAACATTGATATACACAATTATTAGGTAATATTATTGTAAATTTGGCATCACATGAATGGGTATCTATGAAATAAATCTTTAAAAAAAGCAGTGTCAAGTTCAGCCTGGAACACAAGCGCATCAGGTGCGCGACCGCCTAACTCATGGACCGTAGCCGTAGTCGTAGCTATAACCTACGCTTTATCGATATTTCTTATGAATCTGTTTATATTATTTTAAAATTAATTGTTTGTTTTTTAATTTATATATTTTATCAAACATTTTGGTTTGTTTTTCTTTTCGAAATAGCATTGTTTGTATCAATTCGACATTCTGTAAATTTCGTTTAACTTCAATAATTCAGCAAACAAAACAACTAAAAGCATTGATTAAATATGTAAATAATGAAAAATGATTAATTTTAAAACAATATTAACAGATTCATGTGTAAAACCTATAAAGCGTAGGTTATAGCTACGACTACGGCTACGTCCATCACGCGTAGCATGACAAACTCGAGAAACGCTTTGTCTACACCCATTTGTCAGTTTCTCGGGTCGAGAGTGAGATATAGTATGGGCGCAGCCGAGAAAAGTGACATTTGAGTGTAGACAAAACGTCCTCGAGTTCGTCATGGTACGCGTGCATGAGTTAGGCGGTCGCGCCCCAGGTTACCACAATATGTTAATTTCAGTCGCTTATAATTAAGAATTAAAGTTTAAAATCGAGTGTAGACATTTTATAGATTTCTATAACCCGATAAATCGATAACTAATTATATTTATAATTAGTAGTAACTGTATGTACCTACAGTTCTAACGACTTTATTAGCCACAACTTTTAATTAATTGACGATTTTAACTAAATAAATAATAATACTTACTAGTAAGCCATTATAAATACCTATTTATATAGGTGCAAAAGATTAAGCGGATCTTCAACAAATAAACGCCCTTTTTTAAGAATTACTTTATTATATATTTGTGGCGAATCGTATAGCTTTCTTCTTCAGCTAACTACGATTCGCCGTGATTGAGTGATATACAACTTTCGACTTACATCAGTTCTACCTTTAGACCCCCTAACCGGTTGCTATATCCAAGTAGGATCATAACCACCTTACGATCCTACAAATTCTATCACCTTTTTTTCTTGTTCATTATATATCATACTTTGCCTAACCATTCTACACAATACCTAATGTAAGTAATCTATAAAACCGCTTTTAACATGTGTATTTATAAACATCGATCACTAGACTGACACGTGGTTACACAAATGTCCATTAAGGCTTAATGACGACTTTAAGTCCTAATGAATGTTCTAAATTCGAAAATTTTTATTGGTAATTAGCCAGTTGCACAAAGGTTCATTAAAAATTTAATTAGTATAAAGAGACATTACCCATATAAATTTGACAATCATTAGAGCTTAAAGGCGTCATTAAACCTTAATGGATGTTTGTGCAACTGGCCGTATGTCGCTTTAAGCTAATGACAATTTTTATTTACGTTTGTGCAACAGAGTCTATGATGTTCGTCTTAAATTATAATTAAAAGTATCCACTAATAAAGACCTTTTCTAGTTCAATCGTTTTATTTTATTTTTCAAACAGATTGTAACACTCGATTGTTTTATGGCGCGAATGAAACGAGTTTAACCTCAACTTCAAAGTATTGACAGTTTACTGATAGTGTTGCCCGTAATGCAATCGATAAATAGTAATGTCTTTGGTTGACGATATTTTTTCCTCGTATCACTACCATTTAACTTATGAAATTACCCATAATTTAAAACTTTCATACCCTACCATCAGTTTTTCTCTCTTCTTTCCTGGTGGTTAGTAAAATACTTAATATAATAAATATAAATCATTTTTCTTTATGTTGTTGTTAATTTGTCATTCAACCTATAGGTCGAATAAACTGACAAATCCTTCTTATCGCTATAGCAGTTGTATGACAATAATAAAGCGAAATCTTGTGCGTCTTAGTCATTGTAACTAAACTTTTATATAATATTAAATAAAACAAAATACGGGATTACTGATATTATATTGTTTACAAAAATAGAGAGCATTGGAACACAAGCGTTAATACTGTACACATGAGAAATGTCTAGTCGAGTAATGTTTGTACTACTTAACATAATAATAACAAGGCAAGAATCAAAAATAGAGATCAAAATATTTAATCTAAGTACTTAACACTGTAAAGTATCACAAAAATAGCACCTATTTTTTAACGCCTAAAGTTCTATATGTATTTTGATATAAAGCCTTGAATCTGCAGAACTCAAATATTACATCTAGTGTCGCGATATATATTTTGTTATACGCCGATAGAACGCTATCGTTTGTCAAAATTAAATTGCAAAAGATCAAAAGATCAACGATATTGCCTTATCAACAAATATCACAATCACAAGCTTCCCTTATATTACTTCTATTTGCTGTAATATTTGCAAATTTTATTCTTCATTCCATTAATTTAGTTTGAATGTACAAATTTAGAGCAAAAGAGCACCAGGGTAGCAGAAGTTTGGAAGAGGTTATTAACAAATAAAATTGTTAATAGTGACATGGAGTTGTAGATTGGGTCCGAAACTCACTTTTGAAATAAACACGGTCGAAAGAATAATTTATCAAAATAGTGACCAAGATAAAGTTGCACACGGCCTCGCAGTAAAGCTCATAGATTTTATGTGGCGATTGTGACTAAATTTGCTGCCAAAATCATTATCATGAGATTGACATTCGATAGTCAGAATCATAGATAGATAAATTATTAGATAGATTTTGGAAACACGTACTAAATGAAAGAATAAACCCTCGGTGATTGTCCATGCTTGGCCTATTCGTTACTAAAACTTACTTTCAACGAAAATGTAAATATTGAAATCGAATCAAAATTTGCATTTAGAAGTCACCGAATCAATAAATATTATTTATATTTTCCTAACTTCCTACCAACATTTATTTAATATCGTCTCCACCGATGTCAACTTCTGTCATCCTAGTACTTATTTTTTCATAATGGCTGGCTATAGGATTTAAACTAAAGTATGTGCCATAACGTGCACAATCGTCCTTTTACCTTTATAATTAATTACTCCGTTATTTGCCAAATGCGAATATTTGTCATAAAGTGCCACTCTTAAGAAAAAAATCTAAAACTTGTCATTGTGGGAGAATCAGAATTGCGTGTCGATGTTCTAATCGTTAGCTTTCAAAGATGAATAATCGATAGCAAACCTATCGATAGTCGGAAAGCTCTAGGGAGACTATACAAACTTCAGAGCTTTAAACTTATTCATTATGAACACAAGCATTTCATTAAACTTAAATTATAAACTTTTTAAAAGTTAATACGTTTTTAAAACGCACATTCTCTCTAAAATGTGTTTTACACTTACATAAACTAATTTAGCTTGGGTTGCATAATAAAAGAATACCATACTAATAATATAACTAGAACCACTAATATACACAACTAATAGACACCAAATTGTGCACTTTGTGCGTGTTGTTTTAGTGTTGTGTTCAAGTATTGTCCATTTAATTAAAAACTAAAGAAATCGAAAACTAATATGACACATTTATGAGGATAACTTAATGTTGATTTTTTTGTCAATAAGGTAATTTCGCCTGATTAGGCCCACAATTGCCGATGGCTGCAAGGGCTGCTATTTCAGTTTGGAATTTTAGCACAAAGAAGGGCTTCATTAGGCGACAATACCGATTAAATAATATAATTAAAAAATAAACTACATATATATATTATTACTTTACAATATCTGCTAGATTTGTTATAAAAATAATATATAACGTAGAATATTTCAATTACCACAGAAACAATATTACTTTGAGTATTTAAATTTATACATGGACTAACAATATGTGACAAAGACATTCTTTAAAATCAGGTATAAGTGTTTCAGTTTGTAAATAAGCCGAGACTTTGCCAAGTAACTTGTGAGTACAAGATTGATAGATTTTAAGCCTATACCTACTTTTTGGAATTGACTTTACACACAGAATCACATTAGATTTATAAAAAGATGGCGGATTCCAGTATGCAATTTTGATGTTAACTCTACCATAGTAACGTTTAATTAAAATCAATGGGGCAAAGGGGACATCAGAACTGTCAATGTAACCTCGATCACCCGCAACTTGAACAAATACTTTTTATGCACTTCAATAGTAGGGTGGTTGTACCAGTCTCAGACCAACAAACGATTAGTATACAATTGTTGCAATGACCGCCAATTGGCACATGACAGCAATAAATATAAGTAAAAGAAGTTGCAAGAAATCCATAGGTGATTATCTCTAATGATCAACAACTGGTTACCGCTCTATACGGCTACAACCACCCTATTATTTTTGATTTTAGATAAATGTCATACAAAAAATTCTGTAGGCGGATGATTATGTTCATTGTTCGCGTAGAGCAAGTCGTTATGTTCCGTGTAAGCAGTCGCCTGGCAGCCGTGCTCATTATGAGTGTAACAAACCCAGTTACATCTTGTGCCTTGACTGAAACGCCTCGTAAACGTGAAGTCACCGAGTTTCAGAAGCCTCTCGCCGTTCCGTGAGAGCATGAATTTCACTGAAATTAAAGTTAGAGTATAAGTTTATTGATATAAAACTAACAAGTGCTTGATCAATTGAAAGTGGAAGAGCACTCGACGGTTAACGAAAATTGTCGCCACACGAAAGTTATCGTGAATATGATTTCTATTTCTGATGGCTCATTTACATTGGTCAATAACAAAAATTAACTAAAACGATTTTGAAAATCTTTTACCAATTTAAAGCTATTTTATCAGCAACTAACGAAGACTATACTTAAAAAAAAGTAAAGACGATGTTCGCAAGCATTGAAGTATTATTATATGCGATGAGCTAGGGTACTCACCTACTTGTCGTAACTGATTTTTAATACCTATTTAATCTCATTACATATTTCCGAGTTTCCTGAATTTCATATCCTATCTAACGTATTCTACCACGAGTGAGAAGTGAGAATCTGTTGCCTTAAACAACTGCAATTGTCTTAAAGAAAAAATTATGGTCACCCATCAACAAATAAGAAGAATAAGTCTAACGCTTAATATATAAGTATACATAAACAATTCTATTACACCTAAAAAGCAAGTTTGCAATTAGCTTAAACATAATTAAAAGCTAAGAAGCGCATCGAAATTTCTTTTAATCATTTTGGAATATAAATCAAACTAAATGCTTCATTTTATATGATAATCATTATCAGAAACTTAATTTTTTGTAAATATCTAAACAAAAGGTAATAGAAAAAAAAACTACTTTTGACTTTGACACATTTTATTTTCTTATATGTATGTAATAAATAAAATAACTGACATAGTAAAATAATTATTTATTGATAAAAGAGAAGTAATGTTTAATTTTTTATATATTATGGATTCGTAATATTATAATATTTACTTCATATTATGTTAAATAAAAACCAATGTCTCATCAAATTACCATCAGGAGGTGATAGTTGAATTTTTTCAAGCATATTTGTATAAGAAAATAATTAATTAAATTACTTACAAAAAAGGCAAACAATATAATTTTACGTGATTATATAACTAAGTTACTAAGACTTCATTTGCAATTTTGAATGAATAAAAATATGTACATTGCAATTGAATTATTTCTCAATGAATTAACTCATATTATTTTTACATTGCTCACAGCAGCTTAAATATAATTTAATTACTTCTTTTGACACATTACAATATTTAGTTTTGATTTCTGAATCCATGACATCCTTGTTGGCATGATTGAACAATATATGCATAGTGTGTAGGACACCAAACAATTCATCAGTGGCAACATAAAATTTTACATTCGAACTACTATCATCTTTTGGTTTAACAAGTTTTCTTCTTCCGTTAGTCTCTATAACATCATAATTGTTCAACATTTTGTAGTCTTCAAAGTCTTTATTGTATTTACTCTTTATAACATTAATTTCTGTGATGAAATCTTCATATCTGGATCTACTGATGAAGTATGCACTATTACTCTTCTTACGACTTAATAATCTTTCTAATTTGTCATTGAACTCTTTCTTCAATGCTGCAATTACACTTTTAGAAAATATTTGGAGTCCTGTGAAAGGATTAACATACATATTTCAATCAAATAGTATGTAAAAAATAAAAGAATATGTTTTGATAAAAAAATTAATTAATATAAATATAGTGGAGAATTCACTTCATGGTAATGTAATGTTTGGTATTGTAGTCCCAGTGCAGTTATTACTCAGGCCTACAGTAGTGAGGGCCGGCAGGCAAGTCCATAGACTTACCCGTGAGCATGCTTGCTAGTGAATTCCCCGCTTGTGACTCTAATTGGGTGTTTATTGACAAAGAAATAAAACATGAATCAAAATGTACTTTATCAAATTTATTTTGATAAAAAATCAATAACAATAAAAACATGCACATATTTGAAAGACTTAACAATATTTATTAATACTATCAAGATGTATGACTTTTATTTAATGGCACCAACTCATTGCATGCCATTGAGCTATACTAAATTAATACTTTCTTGTTTTAATTAAGGTTTATTTTAACATTATACCATGGTTATAGTCATAAAAGAAGTATTGTTATACAAAAACTTTACTTCTGTTAACTTTGTCATTTACTTCATTATAAGTATACCTAGTTTGACAGCTCTAAAACTATAACTGGCCCAGTTTGTGCAACAGAATTGTTACCATTAACATTCACATTTTGATCAAACTAATTATTAAAAACAAATGTGAATAAATAAAATAGAAATGGAATCTCATATTGGTTGTACCAGGAACGAAATGTTAATATTTATTTTGTATTACCCACTTACCTAACAATTTTCTAAAACAATTTTCTAAATTAATAGAAATTAACACTACTAGCTAGTACCTTAGCATAAAAATATACATACTTTGCTTAACTTTCTAATATTAAAGATTAATGAGAAATATACCTGGCATATTTTTCTGATAGAATAGATAAGCTGATTTTTTTTCTTAGTGCACTACTTTATTTTTTAAAATGATGTTTTGTTCTTAACGACTAACTACTTACATACAGATATAATATCACTGCAATGTATATAGATCTTCTTTAACCAAAAATAACACAATTGTATTTATTTCTTAAGAACTTGTTCAATAAGCCATTGTATGTTCTCACTCACTTTTAGGTTATATGGCACAAAAACTGCAGCACACATTTCAAATTATATTAATTTAGAAAAGTTTTCATTATTTTGACAAAATAACAGATCCTGTAAATTCAGTAATTATTTCGAATTCACTTCTCAATGGTTATTATGACACTTGACATTATAAAACGTCATAACTTTCCATTCTTTTTAATTCGATACAAAGGCATCTAGCCCATACAGCCATGTTTAATAGTGTTTAACATGGATATACTTAATAAAAAATAATAAGAAAAAAAGAAGTATTAAAAAACAAGTAGTTTTCGTAATCAAATAGACTTTACAACAGAATTTTCAAACACTTTCGTTAATGCCAAGTTTAAAATTTTCTGTTTGTGAGATGTTGTTTAGGGCTCATCAACTACAATGAACAAACACTAAAAAAACACCTTACTAGATGGCGATTTTAGCAAAAGTTGCTTTTTGCAGGAAAGGAATGGACCAAAGATAGTAATTTCCGTATCTTTTAACAAACATATTAAAAAACTGACATTTGCAAAGTTCAAAATTTTAACATCAATACAAATATGAAAAAGTACAATGAATATGAGTTTTTTATTGAGTTTTGAAAATTAATTTACTATTTTACATCAAAGAAAACCGGAAGGGTTGTCATGGAGAAATGAAGAAAGTACCGTAGCGACATCTAGGTTGATTCCGGTAACTAATGTTTTTTTTTAAATACCTACTTCCTCATTGTTTTTAGCAGTCGAATCATTTGAGTAAATTTATTGAAAAAATTAGATTATTTTCGAAAACCGAGACATTCAGAAGAGTTGTCGAGTGTTGAGTCATTCATATGATTATTCGAATCATTCGGTATAATCTGATTTTGTTATATTCATTAAACTTTTATTCATAATATTTAGTTAATTTTAACGAGATTGCAACATTAGTCAGTCGAAGTTTAACAGACAATAAAACAACAATATTTTAGTCGTAATGACCGTTTAAACCACTTGCCCACAGAGAATTTATTTCGATAGTCGGTGGAGGATGTTAAGGGTAACAATAAACCATTTCTTTATAAAAAACTAAAACGTTTCTTTGATTAAACTATAATTTAACATATTTGCCTTCCTTCGATATAACAAATCGAGGCGGGGTATGACTGTGTCCGAGCGATAACGGTAACAGGCGTTTATTATTCAACTCGACCTTGGCATCACAATTAGCCGAATACTTGCGCGAACAGATCCATATTTTTGACTTTTTACTTGATTTAAAATACTTATATCCGTTAAAAATAATCAAATTGCCGCCTCTTGCAGACTTTGCCAGTTGGTATTTAAAATCTGTAAGAATATGTATACTGTATATTTCTGTATAAAAATATCAATTTATAAGGCTATACTGTATAAAATATCAATTAATAAGGCGGAATAAGTTGTTTTCGTTTAGTAACGGAATATTCATCATTGCGTTAATTGTTAAAAAATTACTTCTACTAATTTTCTTTTTCATTTAAATACGTTTATGAACACAGAAATATTTTTTTTTATGAATAGCTAGCTTTCGCCAGCGGTTTCGCCCGCATGGTCCCTATGGACATGTTTATTGGGATAAAAAGTATCATTTTATCTAAGTCAGCTAATACCGAAATTTTATCAAAATGCGTTCAGTAGTTTCGACGTGATTGACGGACAAAGAAATTTTTTTTTTTCTGAAAAAACCTTTTGTTTTACTTTAGAATACAAAAATATTATATTTAAATTAAGTAATACTAGAAAACATTACTGCAATATTCTATCGCCAGATTGCAGCACTGGTTTTTAGTAGGTATTAAACATAGATATCTCATCTTAATCGTACAATGATGTAAATCTGTGTTATCAAAGTAGTATAAGTATATGTAATTTAATATATTTTTTAATTTCAATAAGAAAGTAATTTTATCATATATTACATCATTGCCGCAAATTTAGTTATAAGAAGAAAGGGAATAATTTCTTTTCCAAAAGAATGTACACCGAGCGTTGCGTAATTATCCCTATACTAAAGTTTTGCAAATGGCAAACTTAAAAAAGGAAAAAGTAAGTGTATTTAATTAAAACTTTGTTTACTCTTAAATAATGACCAATTTAAAAATAAAAGAAATTTAAACGTAATCATTTTTATTTATTTTTTTTGTTAAAACAAATGTCATTAAGCTTTGTGACATAAGCTTTATGAATCTTGTAATTAAATAACTAATTTTATAATAATACTGAATGCGTTGTAATATATATATTTTTATTACAATATATAGTTTCGTTGAAAGTATAAACTTTAAAATATTTTCATTTGCTTAAAAATAATTGACCTATGCTAGTGTTTAATATATTCACCGTTCTCGGTTATATGATATCGAGGCGGGGGATGACTATGCTTGAGTGATATTCCTATGAGACTCTTACCCTCCATCTTGACTTTTGCTTCACATTTTTCCGAGTTTCTGTTTGAGCAACTCCATATTTTTGACTTTTTAGAGGATTTGGAAAATGTATAGTCGTTTATCATAATCCAATAACCATCTCTCCCGGTCGCTATATATCGATAATCTGTGAATAAGCGGTAGTCATAGATCCATAGTTTGCATTTAATAATATATTGTAACATCTATGTAACACTATGGTTTGCAATAAACAATTGAGTATTGAGTATTTCTTATATAAACACACCTTGATAAAATTACTCTTTGTCACCATTACTTTGTAATCTATCAACGCATGCATTAGTTTTACGACACTAATGTAATTTCGTGCGATGCGCATATTTTCGATAAAACTAATTTTACCTCGATTTAAATGGCGAATTTAGTGCCGCTACACTATCTGTACACGAGGTACTTAAGCCTCGATGTTGATGGATCCAGTGTCACTAAGATATCGTTGATTAAGATTATAAAAGTAGTTTCACATATGCCGAAACAACAATGTTTAAAATGGACTACAAAAAAAAAATTCTTGTACCAAAATGGAACTATCACCAAAATGTAGTATAAGTTGAATGTAATTATTAACCAACAATTTATTTTTAAAAGCTGGGAAAAGAAAGATAATCCTCTCTAAAATATGTCTTTATTTTTTAGAACGCAGTTTAAATTATGTTATTTTTGAACGCATCTTATTAATAATGTCATTCCTAGAGAAGTCCCTCTCTTTTCAAAGAACAAGATCGATTTTATTTCTGACGAATCGAATTTGATACAAATCTTATATTATTTACTAACCATATAAATCCGTGAAAATTATAAAACTTAGATTAGATTACTAATATAATTAGATGTTACTTAGAGGAAAATAGTTTGTTTATAATGAAATTAAAAAAAAAAACAAAAAATTATTCAAATAATCGATATTACAGTATTCAGTCGATTGTGACCTTCCTTTTTTTTAGACAAGTATGTGTAGACGTGTTTCTACGCAGACTGTTTTGTAACTTTGGCGGTGATTTTGTATTATCTTCTGTATTATGGGGAGCATACTAGGTTCCATGGGCAGTATAGAATTCAGGTCTGGAGAGAAATAGCGGATTCTCTGGATTTATTAGAATGAGACTTAAATATAAATAAAGTCCTAATTATAAGGGGTAGAATTAAGTCGAGACATTGGGAGGAAACAATATTATATGTACATTTTCATTTTTTTTTTCATTTTCATTTTTCAAATAATACGTCATAACCTCAAAAACATATTACACAATTACTCGATACTCCCAGATTTTAAAAATATATTTAATGTCTTTCTTTTTATAGTTGCATAGGCAAACAAAATAACATATGTTTCATCAAGTTACGTTTTATTCGATTTCATTAGTCCAAGCATGTTAGGCAGATGGCCATTGTTCTTTGTTTCATGACAGAAATAAGTCACATTTCCATGCGCATAGTCTTACTATATTTTTATATTAAAATGGTAAAGTAAAATGAAGAAAAAAAACTTTTGCATACCTCCCCTACATGTAAAATTAAGACGACAATTATTTTCGTCTTCCCCATAGTGTGAAGCTTCGTTGGATAGGTGCATCAAAAACTCTGGGGGTTTTGAAAGGCCGTTTTTCGATTTAGTAAGCTATTTGTGACTTATTAATTAAGCTTAAAGAACTAATTTTCTTTAGAGTCAAGTGTGCAAACCGTCATTAGGTCCGAATCGCATTGGGGTAATGTAGCATACCGTAATATTAGGGTTTGAATCTCATTCAGGTAGTTATTATAGTACTGTTTAAAAATCCTATCCTATTAATTAATTAATAATTAATAATATTATAAAGGCGAAAGTTTGTAAGTATGGATGTATGGATGTTTGTTACTCTTTCACGAAAAAACTACTGGACGGATTTGGATAAAACTTTACAGCAATATAGGTTATACATCAGAATAACACATAGGGTACTTTTTACTGGGAAAACTTCTCACTCCCACGGGATACCGACTTCCACGCGGACGAAGTCGCGGGCGTCCACTAGTAATTTATAAAATATTTTTAAATAGTACTATCACCCTCGCGATTTTTATCTTGACTTTATTTTATGATTTAATTTCCTGATTTAAAATAAGTAAAGAATAGATGCATAATTAAATTTTAATGTCAAAATAGGACATGATTCTTTACTGAATTAAAAATAAAATGTATTTCATTTTTAAAGCGCCAGTTAAATATAATACGCGCCGCGTTTGGCCATAAGAGGTTAGTATAATTTTCACATATTTATTGGACACGTGGCGCTATGCCAATTGAGTCTAACATAATCACTCTTATGTTAAATATATGACACCTATAAACAACCGCCGTTTACAATGATTTGAAAAATTTTAAACTTAGAGCAGTAGGGCAAAAGAACCGGTTTTAGCCACTACCTACCCCTTTTTGACTATTCGGCACTATAAGGAATTCTAACTAACGGTTATTACTTTATCGTAAATGGTTTTAAAAATTTTGCATAGTGGTAAAACTGTTAAAGCTGACGATTGAGATTTATCAAAGTTCACTGTCTCGTAACCCTTAAAATGGTCAAAACTAAGTCATAGCCAAAAACGGATCATCTTGCCCTAGACATCAAGACAGCCTTAACACCACAAAGGTTTTAAGTAGTTGAGTATTTCTGGATCTAGAAAAACGCTACCACCACTTTAATTTTTACTTTATCTAAATATATAAATTCGAAAATATTTTATCAGTACCTTGAAAATTAATGTTTCGTTACTTAAAGTTTAACATATTTGCCGTCCTTGGTTACATGATATACGGGTGGAGGATGACAATGTTCCAGTGATATTGGTATGAGGAGGTTACCGTGCAGCTTGACTTTGGCATCGCATTTACTGGACTGCTTGCTCGAACAACTCCAAATTTTTGACGTATTACAAGATTTTGAAAATGTATAGTCGTTCAACATAATCAAATTGCCACCTCTGCCAGATTTAATTAATTGATATTTAATATCTGTGAAAAAAACAAATTTAAATAAATTTGCTGAACATTTCGCGATATTTTTAAATTTAATAGCACTAATAGGTGCACGGAGCATCACGTCGGTTTGCCACAATATGTCATACCGCAATAGTATTTTGAACTGTAACCTCTATTTCGAAATTTGATAGTTTTGTGTAGCAACAGCACACCATAGGGATCCTTCCTTTATGGCAGAAGTTTTTATGTCATTATTTTATTACTCAGAAAAGCGAATGACATAAACTTATTTTGCAGAAAGTCGATTGGCATGCACTCATATAGCATAGATTTCATAAGTTTAAAATTTTTAGGCATACATTGAATTAAAGAGTACAGCCATCATTTCACAAGTACATAGTAAAAAATATTTTTTGACATATATATACAATTTAAAAAATCCAATGTAATTCGAGGACAGAAATAATATTACTGAAGAAGACATTTTGTACCTGGTTCGAGAATTTTAGGGGAATGAAAGGAAAAAGATGAAGTTTTAACAATGTTTTAATTATCTTTTTAAAAATCAACAGAATATTAACAAATTATTCAAAACCAATATTTTGTTCACAGACATATCTTGGTAATTTAGTTATCATATTAAGAATCATACAAATTATAAACACTACAGGTGTTAACAATGGACTAGCCTTGTAAATTCACACTTACATGCACCGTGTTAAATGATTAATATTTATAATAATACAACTCTATATTATATTCATTTTTAATAACAAATTAGCTACCAGTAAATGCATTAATCGATATTAAACAAATCAATAATAATATAATCGATAAGAATAAACATTGACTAATTTTATGGGTAATGTAAATGATTTGTCATTGTTTTATGAGAGGATAATTTTTGATCATCATCAGCCCTTTTACGTCCCCACTGCAGGGGCTTAGGCCTTCCTTATGGATGGTTAAGGAGGATGGGCCATGACCCTCCACGCTGGCCCAATGCGGATTGGGGGGTAATTTTTGATACCTGTGTCTTATTGACGCGAAAGATATTAAATACCCATCTTATCTATCTTTCTGCAAGATTTCTGTTCTAAAGTTTCAAAATTTTTAAGGATGTTTATGATGAATATGTCACCGTAAAATTATAAGCATTGACAGTTTATTATGTGTGACTTTAGATTATAAACTACCATCCGTGCATACGCATGGTCATCGGTTTGATGGATCACAATAGAAAACTTTAAGACGAGCACGGACGACAACCTTCGGGTTAAGTGAGCTAATTAAAAAGTGTATTAAAATTTTTCTTTTCGTTTGTTTTGATTTTATTTAAAATTAAATTACTTTAATCAATTTTTTATGTAACGCACTTATTAATATAATACCCGTTGTTCATCTGTAGACATCTTCATCTGTGGGAATTATCATTACTGGCATTGGAATTTTAACAGTTTTCTTTTCATCTTTTTTCTTTTGTCTGTATCTACACGCAGCCTCTCTCCACTTTTTTCTTTTAATTCTTTGATCTCTTGGTGATGTTTCAGCAATTGGCTTTACTAGTCCCTTTTCTTTTTTCTTTAGGTAACGATGCCTTGTTCTTTCTTTTTCTCTTGCGTAAAGTTCAGGATCTAATTTTATTTGAGCATATTTCCGTCGTTTCGCCACTCTTTGGGCTTCTAATCTGTTTTTTCTTTTGTCCGTGATTAAATATCCTGAAAAAAATGTCATTAAAAAATGAACACCGCGTTAATTATCCAATTGAATGGCGCATGAACGAGTGAATAATAAAATCCTAGAATAGTTGTCAGAATAACATTTTGGACACTTGTATATTTAGTTATTAATCGTTAAAAATATTATTATTAGGCAGAAATATTTTAATAGATTTGGCAACTTGATTATTGTTGACTGAACCTACTCTTAAACTAGAAGGTACAGATATACAGTCGCTAACAAAAGTCTTCGTACACCCAACTTAGTTAAGTGTTTTGAGAATGTATTTTTAGATTACATTAATGAAAGTGTATTTTAAAAAATATAGTAAATATTATATTTATTGAGATCATAGAAAATATGAAGTCACAAAAGTCGTCGTACACTTCTCACATGTCTCAGAAAAAAAACAAAATTATTGAGACTAATATTTCATAAAACCTCCTTTTGCATCAACTACAGCTTGTAATCATTTAGACACAGATATAACTAAATTTTCGGTGACGTTTGAAGTTATTTCCTGTTAGATAATTTGCAACGATTTTTTTTTTTAATGAATCTTTATTATTTATTGTTAAATTCACTTGGAAAATCTTGTAAACGCTTATTGAATTCTACCCAGACGTGTTCAATTACCTTGAGAAGAGGCGATTGAGGATAAAATTCGAGTACATTGATTTTTCTTTAACCATTTTTTCCTTTTTAATTTTTGTTCTTCAATTATAGCGTAAATTCTCGAGGTAGTTCGAAGCATTCATAGTTTCTTCAATATACACCAGTTCTCCGTCTCCAGAGGCAGCCAAAGAGCCTCAAACCATAACTCTACCTCTTCCGTGTTTTATAGATGAAATTATAAGTTCCTTTCGTAGCTGTATATTAGCGTTACGCCACACTTTACACATTCTATCATATCCGAAAATGCTCCAAAAATTATAATCTCAATTTTTATGTTCTAAACCAAAATTTAAACGTTTTTCTGATTAATTGGAGTAATAAACGGTTTCATTCTCAGAAACTTCTTTGTTAAAGTACTTTCCAAATTTAAAAAAAAATATTTTCTATATGGGCTCAGCCGTAAGCCTCGTTTCACATTTTGTAGGACTTTTTTCATTTCATTAATTAAAGCACGAACGTCACGATCATTTAAAATTCAAGGTCTACCTGAACGATGCCTATTTAATATTGTTCCCGCTGATTCAAATTTTCTTATAATTGACTACACTGTAGATCGCTGTTTTTTCACTATCTTCGCAATTAAACACGGACTATTTTACGACTGTATATGTAATATTAAGAAACCCTAACGTGTAATAGCCAGAAGTCGATAACTTTACGTGTAATTGACAGAATGCCATCGAGTTGATCAGATTACTCTTAGTTACTTAAATTGTTTATTTATTAATTTTATATTGTGTAGATTATAGTTTAGACTAATAATATTTGTATAAGAATATTATAAATATTTATCGATGAACATTAATTTGGGAGGGTGCACGAAGACTTTTGTTAGTAACTGTATACCAGGGGAAACGTTTAGGCTAATTTTGAATGTAAAAATTTAAACTAAACTCATAAAACATATTTTATTTACACATATTTAGACTTTTTATAACATACACACAAACAGACCCAACAGTCTCTTTATTACTTACAGAACAGTATTGCTACTCATATATTCATCTAAGCTAGTCATATATTTTGCTTTTGCAATAATTTTTTGCAACCTTTTTTCTCCGAGGCATCGACGTATCTTATGCAATTAATAAATATACATCCTGAAAGTTTTGACATATTGAGACACTTAAAACATGGAAGAACTTCCATGTTTTAAGTTATATTTTCGTAAATAAAACAAATATCCGAAATTATTAAAAAAAAAAACTGCTATAGGCATAAATCAAACTACCCACTATTTGCATTCGAACAGCCGCCGCACCGCCATTTTGTCTGCTAGGGTAATATTACTATCTATTTACAATCCCTTTGTACTTTACCATTTAAAGTAATATCACCCCAAATACATAGGAGTTTCTAAATATTGTTTGTTCTATAAAATAAGCCTTCCTGAGAGTTTGACATATTGCCCATCCTTAGTTATATGATATTGAGGTGGGGGGTGACTATGGTCGAGCGTAACTGGTATGAGGTCTTGACCTTCCAACTTGACCCTGGCATCACATTGACTAGAGTACTTGCTCGAGCAAGCCCATATTTTTGACGTATTACAGATTTTAGAAAATGTATAACCTTTCAACATAATCAAACGTCCACCTCTCCCAGATTTTATCCACCGATATTCTATACCTGCAATAAATATATTTTTATAAACGTATCGAAAAACTCAAAAACATTACTGATGATATAAATGGAGGGGTTGGATGACGTAGAACTTAGCGTGCTCGGTCTGTGATATGTTATTAAGCAACTTTAGCATTGGCCGGTCATGGGATGAGTGACCAAAAGATTTATTATCATGAGCTCCTCCGTGCATCATCATCATCATCATCAGTCCCTTTACGTTCCCACTGCAGGGGATCAAGCCTTCCTTACAGATGGTTAAGGAAGATGGGCCATGCATGACCGTCCACGCTGGCCCAATGCGGATTGGAGGGTATTAACGACTGCAAATGCAGCCGGGAACGGCTCGAGATAATAATTTTTTGGTCACCCATCCCGTGACCGACCTTTGCGAAAGTTGCTTAACGACAATGATCGCGGCGTTTATTCACTACGCCACCGAGCTACTCTCCTCCGTGCGTCGGAAGTTATACCGTTGGACCCGGCTGCATCTGTAATCGATAACAACCACCAACCAGCGCTGAGCCCACGTGGTTTGAGTCGATTCCATCTATATGGAAGGCCTGAGCCCCAGCAGTGGGGATATTAATAATGATGATGACACCTCGGAAAAAAATGGTTTCGAAAAAAAAAGGAATTTTGTGTTATTGAATCGAGTTATTGATAAAACTATAGGCATAGTTCGTAACGGCCTCGCTTTTTGTAAATTTTGCAAAAACACAAAATTTGCAGAGAAACTTTTCATAAAATGCGCGATGACACTTTTTTGAGATCCTGGATTGGTTTAAACAAATGAAATAAGATAAAATAGTATGTTATTTCTTATTCAGTCATATAGTTCTTAGCGGCCCTAGAAATTTTCAAATATAATAGATTAAATAAAGGTAAAACTCTTATTATAAACCAAAAAACTTAAAACCAAATCATTTATTTATCAAATATAAGCATCTCATATTTTACCTTTAAGCATGAAATAAATTAAAATAAAGTACTAGTTGGTACTAAATTAACAACTAATTCTCTTATTTTAAAACTCACTGAATAAAAACATTTATCAATTAACCATGTATTCCAACGTGACTTAAATAATTCGAAAATAGCTTAAAGTTAACTGTGAATTTCACCTATCTAATATTGTATTATAGAACAAATTTGGGTTAAAAGAATTATTACTTTATAAAGGAATAAATCTTTTATAATTTTTAAGCACAAAATCACTTTCGTATTTTAATAAAAACGAGAAATATACGTATAACTGCAAAAATACTACAAAATGCGACGCACCGGCCGGCCATACGTTCCGATCTCAGTTAGGACGGCCTTGTAGCCAGTTTGTTTGTATTTTTAATAGGGCTCTTAAAGAATTTAAAAATATGGATTAAATAGATATTATTTTAAAATTAAAAAAAATATTTATTGTTATCTTAAAGTTATTGCAAATATACATCATGGACCACTTTAAAATGTTTATGATAAACAGGTAAGGTTTTTGTCATAATGGAAAAGGGTGGTGGCTCAGCTAATGCTAACACAGGCCACCACCGGATCATGCTCCCGGACAACGCTGATTTATAATAGGGGTGACGACTAGTGTCAGTTTGATGGTCCGCCAGATAGATAGTTGAAAAATATTAAACACGTAGTTTTTTTTATTTTTTGCGTTATCATTAAATAACGGAGATTGAGTTAAAATGACGTCCCGCTTTGGTACATTTTCTAAAAAATGTGACGTAGCAAGTCAACACTCCTCAATTTTAATGTCTGTTATCTAAACTATTTCTTGTTAAATTGTCAAAAACGCACGCACATACGTGTGTGGGTGTGTGTGTGCGAGTGTGAGGGCGTGCGCGTGCGCGTATGCGTGTGTATGTGTATGTGTGTTGTGTGACGAATGAATGAACGTATGATAAATACAGTACCAAAATTATTGACTCGAAAGTCTTATTATCTTGTACAGTCAACACGCTTTTTGGAAACTTATTAATTAATTTACTTATATTCTACTTTAATCACTTCAAGGTTTATGGGACTATACATTTTTCGTATAATGCCATGTGTTTATTCATTACATGCATCTTTAAATTGGTTAAAGAGCATCCTTGAATTGAATACGTTGCTTTACAAATTTTACATATCACCTTCCCCTTTCCCTGTAGCCTAGTAAAATAGTTCCACATCCAACTTCTGCTTCTATCAAATTTACCTGTAAAATAAATATTTAAAAAAGTATTTCATTTTATTTATAGATGCGCATTTTTACGCATATAGAGTTTGGCAAGCGAAACGTGACACCACCCATTTTTCCGTTTTCATATGGCAACAACATAGAACTGTCAGTTTGACACTACGTTAGACAATTCAAGAATATTGAATTTTGTTGTTTTTGCGAATTTGAACTTGTGTTTTTGGTTAAAAATTATGTCGAAGCCGATAAAAAGTTCATCGAGGAAACTTCTTTCCATCATGATTGACAAGTTTACTGAAGTGAAAACTGAATTAAATAAAAATTTCATGGAGAAATTACAACGATTAGATAAAGTTGTATCTTTTTTAGGTTAGTTTTGTATTATAATTTTGATACTTTCGTTTTAATTTTCTGTAATTAACTAAACAGATATTTTTTATAAAATATTGCTCTATTTCAGATAACTGTGATGGTGATATTCAACCAATAATGGAGGAGATAAATGCAATAAAAACTTTAGAAAAACAAGAAATGCTGAATTCGGAAACGCAGTACTTACAAAAAATTTCTTCAATGACAGGTCTCTTTTCTTGTTTTGATTTAAGATAGATTGATAGTATTCCTATAATATTTACATAGGTTTTTTATGATGTATTGGTTTTTATTGTTGACATCCAATGATGTCATAAGAATGTTTTGTTTAACAAGGAAATTCACAGAATTCATGAAACTAATCAAACCATGTAATTGTTATACATGCTAAATATGCACATAAACTTAACTAAATTAAACATAAATTGCATTCATAGTTGAATAGGTATTTAAATTATTTTGATGTATGTGTCTATCATTATTTGCTTTTAAATACATTTAACATATCTTTGTTTCAAAGTGTTTAATCTTTTATAGATGTAAGTATAAGGACACTAAGAAGGATAAAAAATGAAGCATTAATTAATAAAGGAAAATGGGACACTCCTGGGAAAAAACGACCTCATCAACCAACAGTGTCTGCTTTAGATAATTTTGATTTAAGTGCAATTCGGAATAAAGTAAATGAATTTTACTGTGTGAAAAAAATTGTTCCAACATTAAGAAGCCTTCACAATGAATTAAAAGATGCAATAGGATTCAGTGGTAGCCGTGAGACTTTACGAAAAATTATGCTTAAGAATGGATTTTC